AAAGATGCCTTCTTCACTTTGGCATACCTTGAATTAGAACCACAAGATACAAGGTTGATCCTGACCTCTACATTACAACTTAAAACAGACTGAAGCAAGTTGGTAATCAGTTTCTGCGACTTCTCCGCCTTCGATACACAATCAGGGTGGCAGAACTCCAATTCAGCTACCGCTACACCTGAAATCTCATCGTTACTATTTTTAAGTATAAAAATTATCTTACAAAAAAATAGACCAAGCCCCATACATAGTTGATTGTAACACCATAACATCTTTTCAGCAAGACTGCATGAGGTAGTGATCAAATCTTGTATATACATTTTCTTTTGAAACAAGCAAAAGAAAACATTCATTGTCAGTCATGTCCCAGAAAAGAAAGGTTTAGCATGTCATTTATTTGTCAAAGGCAAATTCAATGCTAGTAACTAAAAGAGAGATGAGAGAATTACTAGTTAGATGTACCTTGGCTGACAGTTAGAGAAGATAGTTTCCCTTGTTCCATAAGAAAACTCTTCAGTGAATTCGATTGGCATAATTCTGTGGCCCTCTTCCATATGGATTCCAAGGTTCTTCTACAATCTTCTGGCAATTTGTGTGACTTTTTGTCCTCACATGAGTAATTGACAAGATGCTTCAAGTCCTCCCCTGCAAAGAGTAAGTATTGGAATCAAAGTTTACGATTAGAATGCCACTTAGTTTTATTTTTACCCCCTTTTTGAAATAATTTCGTAGAAACCTATCAATCAATAAATCTTTATCGAACAATTCTCACCTCTGTCGTGAGCATTATCAAGCCACAAATTCGACTCATTCGCTTCTGCAGAAGAACATTCCATAGAGCTAAGCTGTAGAAGAGCTACAGTAAGCCATGTTGTTTGGTTTTTTGACATCCTCAATTGCTTTTCGGTTTCGGACAGTATTTTTAGTGCATGACTCAGTTTCTGCAAGTCCATTTCAGCTGAGAAAAAGAAAATAGTAGGATGAAACAGAGAAATAAACATGCTAAGCATAATATGGACAGTAAGAATAGCCTCGTAAAACATACAATCATACATCAATAAGCAATAAGCATATCACAATAACAGCTTAAACATACAACTAGTTAAAGAAAGAGCAAGGTCACTGACGATGACAAAAGAACTCTACTTTCTTTTCACTATCTATTTTCTACGGCCTTTTGAAATCTTATTG